TGTAAAGATCAAATGTAAACTCCTAGCTTCTGTAAAACAGCTCTCACCCTAGGGTCCTGCATATTAAATATTTACTGAATTAATGAAACTCTTCCCAGTTTTACTCCCAAAATATACTTTCTGGTGATTCACAGTTTTGAAGTGTGATCTTCTACTACTTGATTAACAGACATGAAATCTAAGTCCTCAGATATTAAAGGAAGAACTGGGACTAAAAATCACGTCTCCTGACTCCAATTTGAGTGTCTTGAGGTCCATCACGTGCTTTACCCCAAATCTCTATTCCCAAAGTGAATTAAAACTGTGTGACTCAGAATTAGACATCTGGAAAAGCATTTGGGGGACAAAGAACAGTAATAGCAAAGGTCTACAGTAAAAGCTCACAAGAAACTGCAGAATGCCTTAACACTGTGGGTTTGATGTGCTCCTTCCAATGGGAACCTCTAGAGGGCAGTGCACTCTTCATAACAGACAAGTTCTGCCGTGGGTTTGCAAGAGCTCTGGGAGTGAAAACCTAAAATGTTTGGCATACTTTCTAACAGCTTTAAATCAAACAGGGCACACAAATATCTCAGGCCCAGTCCAATTTTTGGCTGTGTTGGAGAAGAACGCCACTTAACTATGTATTTAGCTATGGGCTTTTTCTCTTTTTCCCTCTCTCCCTAAGCATGAAGGCTCTAATATTTAATATAAAATGAACTTGAAACTTCCCTTATAGTACTAACCTAATACACTGAAGTAAAACATATATATTGGTAAAAGTGGAAGTAAAGAACAGAAAGAGAACAGAAGGCTTGCAGAGAACTACTGCCGGTTGAGACTTGGAGTCAAAATAGGGGGCAGCGGGTGGTAGGAGCTGAGGTTTAAGAGATAGACAGGAGACAGCCACGGGAAAGGAGGTTGAATTTCCTCGTGTAGATTCAGAATGACTTTAGCAAGAGAGGGACTGGGTCAGATTAGTGTTTTACATACAAATCATTCAGGTAGCTCTGGAGAGAGAATGGAGTGGGCCAGGTCTAGAAACCAGGAAGCCATTTGGGAGACTGTCATATCGGTCCAGTTAAAAGAAGGTACATTTGAGATAGGGTAGTGGTGGTAGGAGGGGAGTGGAGAGGATGGGTTTGAGAAATGCGTAGGAGGGGAAATCATCAGGATGTAATGATCAGTTAGATAAAGGGAGTGAGGAGAAGAAAAAAGTTAAGGCAGACATTTTATAACTTTTGTCACTGGGTAAAGAGAAGGCAACAGAACAAATAGAGGTTTAGGTTGGAGGGAAATGATACATGTAGTTTTTGAACAATTGAATCCGAAATGTCTGAAGAGTACCCAAGCAAAGCTTGCCTAGCAGGTGATGGAATTGGTAAGCCTAAAGCTTGGGGGAGAAATTTGAGATGGAGATTGAATTAGAAAGTCATTACCATACAGGTGGTAGCTGAAATCCTGAGTCTAGAAAAATCCACCCAAGAAGAGTATCAGTAATGAGAGGAGCAGTGGGCTAAAACAGAAAGGTAGGTAACCCCAGCATGTAGATGGTGGGTGGAGGGAGAGGAGCCCATGGTTGATAAGGAACAGAAACAAATGAGGCAATATAATATGACTATCACAGACAGTGAGTGGTGCACACAAGCAACATGGCCAAATGCCCCAGAAACATACAGTGAGACAAAGATTGGAAAATGTCCACTGGATTTTCCAACACTGGATTTTCCAGCTAGAATATGGGTGGCCTTACCAAAAGCAGAAGCCAGATTGCAGGGGGTGCAGAGTGAATGGCACATTAAGTGGTCACATTGAGTATCGGTAACTCTTTAAAGATGTTTGGATGAAATAGAAGAAGAGATAGGACATTACTAAGGGGATATGGGGGTCAAAGGTAGACTTCTTTTTTAATGAATGGGAAGGAGATGAGTAAGCTTGTAGTCTGAAGAGGACACAACCCTGCAAGAGGAAGATGTTTCAATAGGGAGGATGGCTGTGGAGCCCAGTCTTGGCATGGGTAACTGGGGTCAGCCTAGAACAAAAGGAGACACTGCATCTTCTGAAACTGGAGAACGATAATGCAGGGTGTGAGTGGAGCTCTGTTCCTAGAGGTAGGGGAGGCAATAAATGGAAGGAGCTCATGCTCATTTGCCTCTATAGAAGGATAATGAATTGAGATATCATTTTTGATAATGCATTTATACTGTAGCAGAGTCTCCAGTGGATGAAAAAGTCAGCCTTTGTATTGTGCGCTCCTGATCTTGCATCCAAGGGTAAGGATCACTTTTGTGCTTCTGGGTGAAAAACGAGTTTCTGGAACACTGAGGTAGCAGCTCCGTCCTAGGCTTTTGTTTGAAGTGGTTATTTAATTGGGATTCTACAAATAGTCACTACTATGCCCACTGTGTGGCTATATTCATACCTGAGGAAGTGACATTGTAGTTGAAGGAAGTGAGTGACAGGACCATGGGGGTAACTCTTCTGGAACAGAGAAAGGGGCCAGTGGCAGAAAGTTGTGCAGCAGGCTGAAAACCAGGCCTTTCCAATACAGTTCCCTGAAGATGGCAGGACCTCCGATGGGGTGGCTTATGGATGTGAAGGGTCCTGAGTTTCCCAGTAGTGAGAACCAGGCCACCTCACCCAAGTTGCACTATGGGTGGAGGCGGGTGGGCGAGCTTAGGAATAGAACTTCCAGCCTTTAAATGGACCTTTCTGGCCCAGACAATAAACAACTAAGCAATGACTGTGATAGGCTAGAGAAAAGAGGTCTCTCCTAGAATTTTCTGCACTGAGCAATCCTCCAAGGATGCCTGACTGCCCCTGGAGAGCAGGACCTCCAATAATGACTGCTACTGACCCTTGCCACACTCTGGAGGGAGAATTTTAAACTTGAATTAACAATGAACAACAACAACAACAAAACTGTGCTATATGACATTTCTTGCACCTGAGTATTATAAAGAAACTTCAGCCCCAGTATAACTCAATTTTCTGAACAAAGTAGGTAGCAAGTTTGCTAATAGTGAAGAGCATATGAAATGGGTGTTGAAGTGAGGGTCTGAGACCCATAAAAATATTTTTTAAATATAGAGTCTTGGATTCATGAACTCAAAGAACATTGATGTTGGAAGGGACCTGCTGCTTCCTCCAGTTGAAGCTGCACTGTACCCCTTTTGCATGTATTTTTAAAATTGGAATAAATGAAGCTCAGAGAGGCTAAGGGTTGCATTTAAGGCCACACAGCTTAGCAGAGCTTATGCCTGTTCTCTCTCATTTTGCCTTCAGTTGGAACAGACACCCTTTCCAGCAGCCCCCCTGAGCAATCACTGTGCTGAATACATCCCTTGCCCACCGCTGTTGCTCCACACAGAGGCCTCCCCAACTCCAGGTCTCACCACAGAAGCTTGAGCGGTCCAGCTCCCTACCCACAGCTGACCTCCAACAGCAGGAAGAAGGAGCTTCAGCTTTGGACCTGGTCCCTGGCCCCACCTGACTCCAGGAGGCTGCCCAGATCAGAACCAGGAGGATGCTGGTTTCATTCGGGAAGACCAAGCAGAAAAAATAAGCGAGAAAGCTCATGGGCCCCCATTCCTTTCCATTCACTTCACTCACACAGGAGGAAACTGAGGCCTCCCAGCAGGTCAGAGACTTGCCCGGCCACCTAGGGCGACTCAGTCAACAGGAAAAGGCTGCTCATTCTGGTTTTTCTTTTTCCAAGCCTCTTTTCCAAACATAGAGCTCCTCATCTGACTGCGCAGAAAACAGCAAAAGCCTCCCTGTATTAAAGTCCCACCAGGAACACACTGTACAGGTCACTCTAACTCGGGCACACACTGAGTCCTGGAAGTGCAGGCAGAGCCAGAGGACCCCCAAGCCCCTGCCCCTGCCCCTGCCCCTGTTAACTGGGTCACCACTTCACACCGAGAATTGGGAGGGGAAAGGCAACAATTTGCACTTCGTTGATGGGATATTAATGGAATCAGGGAATGGCAAGGAGAGACGCTATTAAAAGACAAGACCTTCTTCCCTTATAAAACTGGCAGCTCAAGCCCCAGGTCCTTAGAGAGAGAAAGGCCAAACAACAAGGACCAAGGCAGCAATCAGCAGGCTGAGCGATAGTGGCCAAAAGGAAACCACCTGGCTGGAGTCAAAGGTACAGATGGAACCCAAGCCAGGAGACCAAGTTATGTGGAGAGGGAAAAGACAGGGCTGGGCAGAGCCAGAAAAGGCTGTTAGGATACCTTTACAGCAAATTCAAGCCTCAATGGGGTGTATGTGAAGGCATGGGACAGCTCAGCAGGTCCTTGTGGAGCTGCTAAGGAGCCTACGCAGTGTCACCAGTTTGAAGTGTGAGCCGGACAGTTTTCTTCATTATCCTCTCCCTGACATGCACCTAGAGATAAAACTACCTCATCATGTCACATTCGTGGACTTCCATGTCATCGCTCTGTCCTCAAGTTTGGACTCACATCTCAGTTTCTGGGACTTGTAAGACCAGATATCTCAAAGGAAGGCACAATATTCTGCATGCAACCTGATTTTAGACGTACACAACCATTTTTATTTTAATATACTTACTTTTATCATCACCCACTACTTAGGATAAGCAATATTAATTTTATTTATCATTTAAAAATGTACTGAAGTTTAAAAAAAAAGCCTAAATTAATTTAAAGAAAGAAAATTATTCCAGCAAAATTAATGAAGGTGATATACAATAGCCATAAGTCTGGGAAATGCTGCTCAAGGTACTCCCAAACAAGGGGCAACATTGGCTGCAGAATGAGCTGTGTCTCACCATGAGCCTGAAGGAAAAATACAAGGCTGAAACATGGTCTTGTAATAAATGGTGTGAATTCTCCTACCCTCTGTGACTACCCCTGAGGTTTGTTTTGTTTTGTTTGTTTTGGGAGAAGAAGGCTTTTATTGATCTCTTGTATAAACTTTCCAGATGGGCATATTTGATTTTCCTATTTTACAACTGGGGGACTCTGAGGCCTTCTCTATCCCAGATCACTTACAGAGCCAGTGATTAGGTGAGCTGTGAGGGGCTTCTGGCTCCTAATGAAGTCCTCCTACAAAAGAAGCAGAAAAATGTCAGGAGTGACTGTTCCACCTTCTGCCAATGACATGTTGACTGTGTGATAAGAAACAAACTTTGGCCCATGAATGATTATATCCCCATCTTTCCTCTCCATCTCACTATCATCTCAGGCTGAAAAAACAAAACCAGTTAGACAAGGATTTAATCCATAGTAATCTCATAGCAATGAAAAGCCTTCCAAATCTGTGACATTTCTGTCTATAAACCCATCAGGCAGGGATAGTGCCAGGATAAAGATGAGATTCAGTAAATATGTAATGTTGTCAACAAAATAATTTCCTTAAACTCTGACCTTTGATTCAGCTAGTTACTTGTAGAAAACAAATAAAAGCATATTTTAAAAGCATGTTTTTATATGCTGGTGGCTATATAAAAACAAGGACAATTAACTGCAATACAGCATGAGCTGATTAATTGAATTGAAGAACAGGAATGATTTGGTGTTTTGCCTAAAATAACTGAAAACATGAATGATGTAGTATTTTTGTTTAAAATAACTGAAATGTTTTTCAACAAGTTGATTGAGTTCATTACTGCTGTTGGTACAGGCTCTGCCTGTGTTTCCTGGTTGCATAACTTAGAAGTGGGGGATGCCACATACTTCCCCTTTGTCATCTTCTCCTACCTCCTCGTTCGGTTTGGTTTCATGGGGTTCTGCACGTAAGAAAGGAAACAAGATTAACGCAGGTAATCTGACATTTAAGGAAAGATAAAGGAGAACTAGATGTGGAATCATTAAACTGGATTTTAGTCTCTTCCCCTCGTCCTCAGTTTTCCCATGTGTAAAATAAGGTGATAGGACTCCTGAGTCAAGGTTTCTTAACCTGTAGTCCACGCCCTTAGCTACATAAACCTTCGAAAAGTGAACATAAAAATCTTTCCTGGAGATGGAATCCATAATTTTTATCTGATTTGCAAGTGACATCAACTGTTGTCCTAGATTATTTTTAAGGTCACTTCCTGATCTAGTATTTTATTATTGTCACAGGCAGAAAATCCCAGCAGACATGCAGTGGCACGGATCCAAGTGACAGAGACGGGCTCAGTAGTTACTGCTTTCCTTATTCTTCTCCCGATGCTGAGCACTCATGACTCTTCACCCTCTCCCAAAGTCACTCCAGGGTCCACACACTCATACATAAGGGGCTACCTTCTCAAAAGAAGGGAACCCTGGGTTCAGAACACAAGACATAACACCTTTGCTGTTATGAAATCATAAAAGAATTCTCGGATGTTCACAAACTAGATCTGCCCAGCTCCCACATCTTATTTTTATTAGCTTTGACTGAAGGGAAGGTTCCTCATGACACTATCAAGGGAAACTTTAGAGTAGTTGAAGTCATATGCTGATTGTTAGAAGCTTCTTAAAAGCATGATTTTGGCTGCCTTCTAAATGTATAGAGGCTGATAAACTGCATAGGAACTGGGGAAATGGGGGTTAGAAGAAGTAATAATAAAATGATGAGCTATTGAAAAGATGTGACCATTTAAAAACTCCCAAACCGATACATTTGTCCATAAAATGAAGCCCCTCGAGACATCAGCATATTTCCTTTCTTCTTACTAAGCTAAGTGAGAGGCAAGTGGACACTGAGCCTCCTACCTTCCTCATTGACACAGAGATGGTGGGGGAAGCCAAGGGGAGCACCTCTCTTCCATCTACGTCTTCGAGTCTGGCTAACTCTTACCAAACAAGGGAGAAAATATGTCTTAGGTGGAACCATATAAAACTGCCATCTTGGTAAATTTTTTTAAAAAAAAGGTCAAATATCAGCAATTTCATATGGTTCAACTATGCAATATCTCCAAAGTAGGACATCTTAACCATTTGGGTAATGACAAGGTGTTCCAGACTCATTGTTCTTTGGCAGAAATGACTAACTCTGGAGAAAAAGACAAGAGATGGGTAATTCACTGTGAAATCAAGTTGGTCCATTCTTAATGATTAAAATAATGTCTTAAAAAGACAGAAATGTTTAACTTCCAAGACATCTTTTAAACCAACCCAGAAAATAGAGTTATGCTTCTTACAGAATTCAATTTAACAAATCTCTGTTCAGAGCCTAATTTGCACAAAGCACAGACTGCTGAATATAGGAATATTTGCAGGGTTTCTTGAGATTAATCTGATAGTGAGGGAGAAATCCTTCAATACATGGGGAATAGCTAATGCCACAGGAATTATTTGCTAACAAAGAAAGGCATCTGGGTCATCAGCACCATTTCTGAAATTGTTAAATCTTGACAGTAACCATTACAGCTTTGTTAGGAGCAGAAAATGTCAGGAGCATAAAGAGTAGCCTGACTTATCGTGTTAGTGTTACTGGACATGCGGCCTTCTAAAGAAAGCAATAATGCAGTAAAATACGACTCTGGCTTTGTTATTTCTAGCTGTAGCTCCCCAGGGAAACTGGGCAGTGGGGCCTATGTTCTAGGGGGGATCCCTGTAAAATTTACAGCCTCTGTGGGCAGGAGCAGAGCTCCTGTTGGCTGACATTCCTAGCAAGGCCCATATGTTTGTTCAGCTTTTTCCTGAGGGAGCCAGAAAGGGCTTGCTTCAGTTTCTTATAATGAGTTGAAATTCCTAATAAGAGAAAGCTTTGTGGTTGAGTCAAAATATTAAGAGAAGTAATATGCTGACATTTTAAAATTCACAACTTTCACCAATTTAAAAGCACACAGGTTATCACACTGTTTTCTTAACATTTCTCTTCCTGGTGCAAAAATGAGGCTAATTGCACTCTTGCACATACCCAAGTGGTTTCAGAGAGGATCCAAGGTCTCCACTGGACCCTCAGTTATCAATGAATCCACAAGCATTACTACTACTAATAGTAGATGATAGATAGTAATAATAATAAACTTGTAATAATAAGGCCAGCTAAAATTTTATGCCAAGGAAGAAAATTTAAGATACAATTCTTGCCATATGGGTTGGAGAAAAAGAATTCATAAATTATTTTAAAAGTTACTAAATAAAATACAGGTAGGACATTCTTCATAATTTCAAAATATACCATATGAATAATAAATGCCATCGGGCTAAGGAGAAAAGGAATCTCAGATGGAAACTGGAGGGGTCTGGAAAGCACTGAGGAGGCAGAGCTTTACTGATGATTTCTTCTTTTGCTTCACTTTTCCACAATGAGAAAAGGAAGGTAAGTTATACCCAGTAAAGAGCCAGGATCAAGAAGCAGGAAATGGCATGTTTGATAGTTAGTGAGTATAGAACAGCTTAGCTGGAAATGAAGGGTGAAATTTTTTAATTGGAGGAGATAAAAACCTAAGTAACTCAAGTCTTAAGTCAGTTGGTCTGAAATGCTATTGGAGGTCATGCCACATTTTTTCTTGCAGTGAGCGAGTGAGAAAGACTGATGGTTTGTTCATCTTTTTCTCCATTAAAATAATTGGCACCGAATCTGCCTTGATTTCTGCTCCTCTGAAAAGCAAGTGTACGCAAATGCCCAGAAAGGAAGCCTAGTAGCAAATGGATATTCAATTCTGTAGCCATGTCACAAGGGGGGGCGGGGCGGGGAGGGGAGAGAAAGAGAGAGAGAGAGAGAGAGAGAGAGAGAGAGAGAGAGAGAAAGACAGAGAAAAAAAGCAAGCTAAATTCATTCTTAATGCTTCTGACCTGCAAAAACAAATCAGAAGATAACTCCATCCAGTGCATTAAAACACTCATCCAGGCCTTCTGGGCAATTCTCTGTGATGTGGGAACTCAGTAAGTGGCCTGATAGAGCTGACAGATGCTTTGAGTTTTTAACATTTTTCAGAAGAGCAGTTAGAAAGAAATAGTACCTGGAATCTTTAATAGTCAATAGAAATGCCAAGGAAAGCCCAGCTTCACAAGAATGAAAGGCAGCAAAAGAATAAATAAAAGTTGATTATTTCAACCAAAGCTTACATGTGTCCTCATTTCAGAACCAGTTGAGTTGCTGGTAGAGATCTGGGCTCATTAGGGGCATCTGGTGGAGGAAGCCGGATGGCAGGAAAGCAGAATAATCATCTTCATAATCACTAAGATTTGTACAGCACTTTACAAATTGTAAGGCACTTCCAAATATATGATGCAATTTAAAATGCCCAAGGCTGAGTGAGATCAACAGAGTGAGTGTTATCCTCCTTATAAATACATAGAAGTTGCTGGCGCATAAGGGACTGCCCTAAGTTATCCCTGGAGTGAGTTGTTGAATCGGTCTTCTGATCTCTGATCCATTTTGGTCCTTCAACCACAGAATTGTCTTCTCTACCATAGAAGCACAACATAGTTAAAAGATACATGTAAAAAAACCTTCTCTTTTATTTTGTGCTAATCCAAGATGTCTCTAAGTGTCTTGAAAACGTTATTACTGATTCTAAAATTACATTTTCAGCCCATTATTCCACTGAGTGTTGGGGGTCACTCTGCCTTTTTCAAGGGGAGAGAATTAATGCCCTAGATATTCTTTGTAAATCATGAATTAACATCTCTCCTGTAAAAAGGATGGCACTGGTTAGCTACCATTTTTGAGAGAAGTGAGAAAATAGTTCCTCAAATAATTTTCTGTGTTCTGTAGATTGAATAAGGATCCCAGTAGTATATTTTATCTTCGAAGGAGGAATGCCTTGTGGATCAGAAGGCATTATCACGCTTTTTTCTCACGTGTGGCTACTGCAATACAAGTCATGATGATAACAACTACCATTTACTGAGAAGTTATTATATGCCGAAAAACTATAGCAAGTCCTTTACACACATTGCCTGATCTAATCCTTACAACAAATTTGGGATTCAGGTGTTATTACCACTTTACAGATGACGAATGTGAAACTCAAGAAAGTCAGATAACCTTGTCCAAAGTCATACATGGAATAAGAAACAGAACTGAAATTAAACTGAGATCAGTTTCACTCTAAAACCATCCCCTTGCCCATGATATGCTATCACTATAGGTGATACACTTTACCATTTCCATTGCTGCACAAGGTGATTGCTTCTGCTCCATCCCCTCTTCAACCGTTCCAGAGAAAGAGCAGTTACCACTTCTGAGCAGACCTATAAAAACAATGGTTAAGTAACAAATTGGCCCCTGACATTTGAATCCATGTTGAAACCTAAAATAAGTATAATATCATAAATCATAGAAGAATAGAACTTGGTGAAATCTCAAGTGATCATGAACTCTATTCATATTCATTCAATTAATACTCGCTGAGAATCTGCTGTGTGCCAGATAATGCAACAGATGCTGAAGACCAAAAAATAAATAAATAAATAAATGAAAAGCCATAGTTCCTGCCTTTGAGTAATTTACATTTTTAAGGGAAATACAGGCCTACAACAAACAATGGCAATACCGTTAAGAAGAATAATAATGAGGTATGTACAAATTAAAGAGGGAGCCCAGTGAAGAGAATGATCAACAGATTGGGGTTCCAAAAATGCTTTCTAGAAAAAGATGCATGAGCTGGATCTTAAAGTAGGAATAGGAGTTTGACAGATAAAATTATGTGGGAATGACACTCCAAGAAAAGAAGAAGAGAACATTCAAAGCCATGGGATATAAAAACATATGCAGTGGGGACCTGCGAATAGTTCAACATCGCTAAAGTTTAGGATGAGAGTAAGGGTAGTAGAGACATTAGACTAATGAGGCTGGTCATGGAGGACCTTGTAGGTCATTCAACGTGAGATGATACGCCATTGAAATCAGAAGGGAGATTACCATAATAGACTGGGAAAGGGTGGACTAGGAACTGAGTGAAGCAGCAGCACCAGAAGAAATGGGTTAAAGAGGAAAGGTAATAAGGGAAAAGTAATAAGAAAGAAAGAAAGAAGAAAGAGAGAAGGAGAGAAAGGCTGATTGGAGCTGATTTTACATCCCAAATTTATTTACATGTCTCCAAATAAGCATGCATAGGAATTCTCTAACCCTCTTTTTTCATAAAGATTGTAGTCTTCAGCTTTAATTTCCTACCAATCAACCATTTTATTTTATTTTATTTTTGAGACAGGCTGTCACTCTGTCACTCAGTCTGGAGTAGAGTGGTGTGATCTCAGGTAACTGCAACCTCCACCTCCCAGGCCCAAGCAATTCTCCCACCTCAGCCTCCCAGGTAACTGAGATTACAGGTGCTCACCACCATACCCAGCTAATTTTTGTATTTTTAGTAGAGACGAGGTTTCACCATGTTGGCAAGGCTAATCTTAAAATCCTGAGCTCAAGTGATTCACCCACCTCGGCATCCCAAAGTTTTGGGATTACAGGTGTGAGTCACTGTGTCTGGCCCCAATCAAACATTTCTTATACAAATATAGAAAGGATCATATGGAACAATAACCAACTTATATATAAGAACCTGTTTACTCTTGTCACTTCATAAAAGTTAAGTGGAACCTGGGGAAAAAGGTAAGGGTTATAGTAGTGTACCTTGTCATGAAGAAAAAAAAATGAGTTCTCAAATAACACACATTAAGAGACTATTTTTGTATATAAAAGCTTGACCATTTTTTTAAATGTTTAATTGGGTATCAGGTCCTTAGGGTGCAGTGTTACAATAAAAACCTTGAAAAACTAAAATACATTCATATTAATGCTTTCTCCTCATAAATGCCTTGAATTACAAATAAAGAATTACCACAAGATGAAATAAGGAGGAAAACTCCTTCTATTTTAAAGACTAAAGAGTGAAAGTAGGGAGGAAATGAACTGAGATGTCTCATGTGTGTCTAAGTAAGCAAGAAAGGAGAATTGTTAAAGGACATTCTAATTATGATTAGGATAAAGGCCAGTTCAGCTAAGCTGTCACATCTGGCTTCTAGTGATACCATTCTACATAATGGAAATAATAAGTTAAGGTAGTAAGATTGTTGGAGTCTCTTATGAATATTAGATGTATTTCCTCAGTGAGTCAGACTTAGAATGTCAGAGAGATCAATTTATGTGATTACAATTAATAAGGTAATTAAGAAACAGAGACAGCTCAAGAGGATATTGCCTGATAATTAATAACCAGCTGGAAAGGATAAGGGTCCTAGGGAACGGTGAATTAAATGAAGATCAGCTTGGAGAATTTCTATCAATAAGATATGAGCTATTTTTTAAGGCAGTCAGGGTTAGTATCTGAAGGCCATCTGCTAAAAAATAAAACTCTAATTAACAGGATTTTTGGAATTTCATGTCCTATAACATTTTAGAGAGGCCAGAAAGAAAGTCAGAAATAGGCAGGGAGAAGGTAAGAAGAAAGAAGATCAGAAACAGGCAGGGAGAAGGTAAAGGTGAACGGCACTGTTCATGGAAAAGAGCACGTGGTCTAGAGGGAAGGACCTGGTTCTACCTCCGCCTCTGCCAGAGATGAGCTGTGCCAAACTGGAAGGAAGCACTTCTCTTCAGGGCCCTAGTTTCTTCATTTATAAAATGAGACGATTGAACTGTATAGCCTCTATGGTTCCCTGTAGCTCTGAAATTTGAATTATAAACACAGGTCCTTAACAATGACAACCCTTAAAAACTAAAAATGAATAATTGGGCCAGAACAATAAGTGGTCATTGTTGGCTAATGGTGTTGACTAGATACCAACAAGCATCAAAGCCCCTACTTTAAAGAAAAAAAATTAAAAAGAAACATATGGAAGGAATTGTCCCATTTTCTTAATTCATGCACCTGAAAATGAAAATGAAAAATAAAGCAAGGGCAAGGAACTCTGGTTTATTTTTCCTTGCAGCTCCCAATACTTGTAACCAGATAATTTATGGTTACAGGAGGTCTAGCTACAACTGTTGACAAAATACCCCTTGTCATAAGAAACAACATAAAGTATTCATCTCAAAGTTCAATCCCCTCAGTGACAATGTTCTCTAGAAACCAAAGCTTAAAAATCTCTGTTACTTGTTAAACTAGGAAGTGTCCTTGCTAATCAGACACTCTGGTGGTTAAGTAAAAACATCTTTGAAGAGAGGCACCAAATATCTTATGTACACAGAGACGAGTGACAGAACAGACGGCTGCTTGCTGGGACCTCAATTTATTTACCTCCCACTTCTCCAAAAGGCTTCAATGCCTGAACATTGACTGAAGTTTCTGGGCTGAAGTTTACACAAATGGAACTGAAGGGTCAGAGCAGAGAGTTGCAAAAGTCAAGTTTCCTCAGGCCAAAAAGCAAGGTAGGTAGGTTAAACAGGGAGAGGACAAAAGCCTTCCTGCCACCATATACTCACCCAAAACAAAACAAAAGCAACGTGTGGGAAGAATAATGGCAGAAGTTAGGGAAGAGTCCCTTTCTCCTCCTTATAAGCCCACCATACTGGGAGAATGCAATGTAAGAGTCAAGAAAGCAGCCATGTCTGGTTTCTACCATCATCAATGTAGTAGTGGAGTTGGGGAAAAATATTTTACAAAATCTAGTAATTTTCTGATATGTTGAGGCAATGTGGGGTCATTTAGAACTTGAATATAAAGGTATCAGAAACAGAGGCAGGAAAACATGCCACTGAGAGAAACAAAATAGTCAAACAATGGGGTCTCTTTCAAAGTTTCTGCCCCTGTCCCCTTGTTCTCCTCTGGGCCATAAGCTGCTGCACATTTGGGTGGATGGGAAGGCCTGAAACATCTATTTGCTGGGCCCTTCCCAACGGTCTCAGATGGCATGTTCTCTCTTCTCCACAAGCACCTAGGTACCAGAAAAGCCAGGTAAGAATGAACAGCAAGGCCAGTTTTCAAAGGGGAAAACAAGAGTCACTTGGTGACGGGCAGCTTGTCAAGCAGGTGTAAACAGATAAGGGCTGTGCCCACCCCACCCCCACCCAGTTGGAGAGGGATGATGGGCAGGCTGTGAGGCAGGAGGTAAAGCTCATTGTTGGTGTCCCTGCAAATGACTGTAGCACTTTCAGCACCTCTGGCAAGGCTCTTTTCTCTGGGACTCCTTACACAGCTTACCAGCCTTTGTAGTGCCCTCAGGGTCATCCAGCAGCTTCCCAAAATGTAGCTGAAGAATCACAATTCCCAACTCTGAGGTTCTACTTGTATCCTTGTTTCCCAAGTTGAGCAGTGATGTAAATTCCAAGAGTAGAGCACCAAATAAATTGGGCACGCCAGATAAAATAGACTCCCTTCTATGGATACCGCACATCAAAGGGAACCCATTCTTTCAGGCCCCAAAGAGTAGAAAAATTATTTTGGCAGTAGATGGTTTGAAAGGATTGTAGTTTGTGATTAATTATTTAAATCCCAAGTATTTAACCTAAGACATCCAGATAGGTAATCAGTGAATAAAGCACTTGTTGGGTTTGTTTTGTTTCACAAAGCCGTTTACTTGGAGAAGGGAGATACCATAGCATGGCAGTATACAGAAGTAATAACAATGGACCTGAAGTCACCTAGAAGAGCAGCCATGATAGTTAAATATACTAACCAGGACATCTCTATGTCATGCTTACATTTTTCTTTATAGCTCAAATGTTTTATAATGTGGAAAGAGTAACGAGCTAAGAATTCAAATCTAGCTTCCAGTTCAAGCTCTGTCACCAGCCAGTTATGTGACTTTGGGCGATTTACCTCCTTGGACTCAGTTTTCTTACCTATAAAATCAGGAGACTGGTGACTTGTAAAATTTCTTCAAGTGCCAATTAATGGCCCAATAATCTTGGACCATGATTATAAGAACGCTCATTTAGAAGAAAAGAACATCACAGTCTGGTCAGAAATTTCAAGACAACCATCCAGACACGCTTTGTCAATTATGCATCACTATGACACTGTGAGCATAAGAAGGTAGCAGTATTAATGTGTCAGAATATGCAATACTGTTTTATGAGTTTGCAGGCTGTAACACAGTGGTTATCAACCACAAACCACTCCCACTGCCTCAGGCAGGAGATACCAGTCAATGTCTGGAGACATTTTTGGTTGTCACAATTGGAGTGGGGTTGGGGTGTAAGAGGCTGAGGAGTGGGAGGATATTACTGGCATGTAGAAAGTGGAGGCCAGGGCTGCTGTCAAACATCCTATAATGCACAGGACAGCCTCCACCACAAAAAATTATCTGGTCCCAAATG